GTATGTGAGCAACTGAGGTCTGGATGGAGGCACCAAAGGAAGGGTGACATCGGGTCTCTGCAGTGGCGGGTCACGGGCACGTCCTCGGCTGGTCCTTCAGAGGAGGAGGCTGGCTCCTGCCACCGAGGGGGGCCCTGCGTCGTGGGTGTCACGGGCTGCAGCCTGGGTTGAAGCCGGCTGCTTTGTCCAGAGCCTGAGGGTAAGCGTGAGGGCTGTCTCCGCAAATCGGTTGGGTCAGAGGCCTTGATGCTGGGCTTTGCCCGGGTCTTTGAGTGCATGTTTGAGGAAGAGGTAAGAAAATGGACAAGTAAATGCTTGGCCATGCTGAGGCTGTTCACCGAGGGTAAGGGAGAAAATCCCACATTTTAACGGCTTGGAAACCATAAACCATCAAATTGATTCAGAAGCTGCCTGGCTTTCTGCAATCAGAGGGAACCTACAATAACATTTCTTGAAGTCATTTTGTCTAACCTGTTAAACTGGTCATATTTAAAAAAAGCACTTTGCTACTAAATGTTATGGGAAGCCGTGATTCATGGTCCTGCTGAGCCGTTTCCGTCTGGCAGGAACTTTATTAAAGGCAGCCCGTGCCCTGCCGCCGCAGCAGGCTGCAGTCCCTGCAGGACACCGCGCTGTCCGTGGCTCCTCTGCCAGGCACATACATCGGAGGGGTGCTCGGAGACACCGCTTACTTCAGAGGAGATTTTTTTGTGTAATGAGGCACAAATCAAAATAGTTTAGATGTTGCTTTCCGTACCATGATGCTTTCCCTTAACTTTTGGAGAGGAGTATGAATTGATATTCAGTATCGGAGCGCTTTACAGGAGAGGTCTCTCTGTGGATTTATTGCGGCAGCTTTTCCATTTGTCTGCGCGGGGAAGGCAACTCCTCTGAAGCCTTCCTCCACGATCGCGGGCTGCAAAGCCTGCGTGCACGTCCCTGCTGCAGCAACCGGGAAGTGCTTCGCTGCAGGGTGGTGAAAGAGCTCGTTTTGGCAACTCTTGTATTTGGCATTGATTGTTCTGTGCCACCGGGGTTCTGAGAGCCCCTGCCTGAGGTTTGGGAGCCTGTTACAGGCTGTAGGACATAGAAAAAAGAATTTGGAACCCCAAAAGCCAGGCTGTAGCAGCTGGGCGGGGAGGCTGGTGTCACCCTGCGGAGGGACGGCAGAAAGGGACACGGGCCAGGGAGGGGATGATGGGGGAGACAGGCAGGCACGAGCTGCCGGCTTCCTCCAGAAAGCGTTTGGGAACATTTTAGGTTAAATACTTCTTATGTGTGGTTTTAAACTAGGTTTTGTTGGTTTAACGGGGTATATTTGTGCAGAGGGTTTTGGCAAGACCCTGGCCACTGCTCTTTTGACCTCAGAAGAGACTCTCATCTTTTTGGTACCCCAATGTTATTGCTTCCCCAAGGTATTTTTTCCAACTTGAGGCAGTTTTGCTACTGATCAAAGAAAAAAGAAAAGACACCGTAGGACGAAGAGGTCTTGATGCATTTACCACCGTGGGCAGGCTTTAAAGGTGTTGAGAGCAGAATTAAGGCATTTACGTGGCCTCAAAATTCCGATCATGCCAATGGCCGTGATCATACCAGCACTATATATAGATACAAGCGTACTTGGAGACTGCAGAGCAAACTGCAATCCAAGATAAATGTGACATTTTATGGCACTTAGAGTGCTGCCTTAGAAAGTGTCCTGTGCTGCCTGCCAAGTTAGGAAGGTCACACATGTTCTTTTTTCCTTTAAATTGTTGTCTTGTCTTACCTGCGTGCCCCACCTGCATGCCAAAACATGCTACGCTTTGTGTTTGCATTGTAATGTGGCCGTTTCAGAGCACTGCTTCTTTTGTTTCTCTATTGATTAGTAGCCGATCCATACCTAGAGGTCTATAATGTTCCTATGATTTAAACTTTAACAGTTTCATTAACTGTCAAGTACCTTTAGAGCAAAGGAATCCCATATTTTAACTCGTCTCTCCTTGCCAGTGTAAGATTTGTGGAAGGAGGCTTCTTTTTCTGAGAAATAAATAAATAAAGCCCCAGCTTTCTGAAAAACCCCGAGGCCTCAAGATCTGACTAGGAAAGAAAGAAAACCATTCCAAGATATTTAATTGTACAGGGGGCTTACAGGATTGATCGAGAGCTTAGCTTTTTACAATAGTCCAGTGAATAAGAAATGCTCCTGACAAACGATCGATGATGGGATAATCACTCTTTATCCCCCCTCCTCATTGTTACCTTCTTTCTTCCAGGAGAACAGGGTTCAGAAGTCAAAAATCTTTATAGACGCTGCTTTTAAATTAAGCAGAAAATAGACATTGACATATTTGTTAATCTCACCTAAATCATTACTGGGCCTGACTGGTTTGACTGTACAGCGGGAGTGTGGCAGATAGGCCAGAATACATGAGTGTTACTGGCTTAAGTGCATGCATTGCCATTTAAAACAGGGAGATGTAGGAGCTGGTGAATTTACCATGGATAGATATATATAATTTTTTATCCTGAAAGTTGTAAGAGTACCTTCTCTTAATTAAAACCTCCTTACTAGCGTTTGAAAGGTTAGATAACATTTATATTGGTAGGCACATAAAAACATTCCTTCCCTCGAAAGAATCGTCGTATGACTGGTCTGTGGCTTGGAAACGTGCGTGCGTGTGTGTGCAAACCTGTTCTGTCTTGGAAGAGGAACTCTGGAAGCAAATGTCAACGTATAGGTAGTGCAATGTGGAAGAGAACAGGGCCTGGATGCAGAGGGCCCCTGAAGGTGGGTCTGAGCCAAAGCCCCGGCGTCACGGGGCTGTGCATGAGCTGCTGCGGTGCTGCACCCACTGGTGAGAGCCACTGGGGTGCTCGGCCCCTTGGTCCGGCAGCCCTGGATCATCGTGTCTGTGGGAGGTCAGCCGTGGATGCTCACGGAAAGAGTAGGAGCATCGTGCAAATGCAGTGTGATGCTTTCCCCAGGACACTTTCTCATCTTCCAGCAGTCCTCTGGTTTAGAGACTTCCTGAGAACAGATTAACATCTGATTTTCACACTTAGAAGCCTCTGATGGACTTTCCTTCTGTGAATTTGATCGCTTTCTGTGAGCCTGTTCGTACTTTTGGCACCCAGGACCTCCAGTGCCGTTGAGTTCCCCCGTTTGATTTTGCACTGTGTGAAAGTGTTCCCTGTTGTTGGGGTTTCTGTAAAGCTTCTGCCCGCTAATTTAATCTGGTCTTGTTGGCAGAGACTTGGATGGCTCTGGCTTCCTGCTGCTGTTCCAGAGCCTGCTGTTGTCAAACTAGACGGTGGTGGTGGAGGAGCTGCTGAGGTGTCCTCCTGCCTCTCCCCAGCGATTGCCTTCCGCCTCTCCCCAGCCTGGAAGCATGGCAGTTTAGCAATAGGTGTTGATGTAATGGCAGATGTTGCATTTAATCCCATTGACATTCCTTCGCAAACGACAAAAGATTAAAAACAGAAAAAGCTCGGTGGTGGTCACACAGCACAAAATGCAGTTGTGATACTGAGGTGTGCAAGATAACAAGGATAGGAGCGTCGCCCTCCGGCTGGATCACATCGCCAGCTTTTGTTCCAAGTTCTCCCGTTGACTTCTTGTGCTACTGGGTAGGACACCTCTTTGTTTTATATCTCAGTTCTGTACACTGAAGAAGCAATCGTGCTTGCGTGTCTCCCAGGCGCACGGGCGGTTATATTAACATTTGAATGGAAGGTGCTGTAGGACAGTTGGATGTTACAACCCACCAGTGCTTGGAGCAAGACCCCTCCATGACCCGGCTTCAGATTGCCAGCGACCTCGGCTTTAAAGGGGGAGGTGGGATGGGAGGCAGCTGTCTCTGAGACTGTGAACTTGCAACTGGCGCTTCTGGTGTGGGTGGGAGGTTAAAAAATGGCACAATTCAGTGGAGTATCCAGTACTGTATAATTTGGCTCAGATTGCAATCTTTGCTTAAATTGAACTAAGATTGGCTCTAAATACTCTGCCTCTGCACAAGGACCTCTTGCACATGTGTTGGTGAGGCAGTGTAGGAGAAGCATCGACCTACTTCTGGGCCAACTTTGACCTGGTGTAAATTACTGCAGGTTCAAAAAAGAGAGTTGCACTTGCGGTTACGCTCCCTGTGGCCTGTTAGATGGAGGAGAGGGGATTTACATTCTTGGTTTTAATAAAGGGGCACCTTGGTCTGCTGCGGGAAGCGGCAGGAGCTGCGGCGTGCCTCCACAGCACCATGTGTTTCCCCTTGCCTGACTTAGTCTGGGTCAGGCAATTCCAAAATTAATCAGAAACTGTTTAATGCATGTTTTTGTTTTAATCAAAGTTAATTTTATCTGAGCTGAATGTTTTAAAATAAATTAAAAATTATGAACTCCACAGGACCTTATCTTCTTGACACAGTTTTATTCTTGTCCATCATGTTAGTCCGTGATTGAGAGTAGTGTGTGCTGATCACTGGTAAGCTGAATGTGAGCAGTTTTGGTGTCTGTAGCGTAACTTGTGTTTTCCTTAATGAGGCAGTGGCTCTAACAGTGACTGGCAGGAACCAGCCTGCACGAAAACTTGAAATTGTGCAGGTGGTTTTACGTTGTCCGTGTTTCTTGTTAAATGAACTGCGTGTTGGGACATTATTCTTTTTTAGGAGTAAGTCCAGTAAATGTCACTTAATTGATGGCTCAGCTCATTGGCATTTAAATGGAATAGAGTTTCCATGGTGAAAACTCCTTTGAAGCTGTTGCCTGAATACCAGTGGCAGGAAATCTGGGCTGGAGCACTTACATTTGACTCAAGACCCTGCTTGGCATTGCTGGGAGCTGATGGTCTGGTATTTGTCCTGACCAAACGCAGTCTGGGTTTCACCTGTACGCAGGAGCAGAGGAAACCTCCATTCTCCCTCTGGATGTCCAGAGCTGGTCGCCTTTCCTCCGTGCAGCAGTCCTTTGTACACCCCTCTGCTTTACCCTGACAGAGGTCTCTGACATGTGGCTGTGCCTGGTTGCAGGTACCCCTGAGCTGAGCCCTGCTGACCGAAAAGAGCTGGAGACCAAGCTAAAGGAGCGGGAGGAATTCCTGATCCCCATTTACCACCAGGTAGCCATGCAGTTTGCTGACTTGCACGACACACCTGGCCGGATGCAGGAGAAGGGTGTCATAACTGTGAGTATCACGGAGCTTTCCTTGGGGACATCGTTGGGGGGTTGGACACATGGGAAATGGCAATCTCCAGTGGGGCAGGCTGCTGCTGGAGGCCACCTGCGGGCCTGTGAATAAACCTCTGCCCCAATGACTCTTGCCACAGGAGCAAACCCTCTCCACCCGCCAGCTGTCTTCTGGTCCCAGAACACAAGCACATCATGTTTTCTAGCACCTTTACCTGGTCCTTGTCCATTTGAGACCCCACATTTTCTGGGCTTCGCTGGTTGCTCATTAGTGACTGCATCAAAAACCCCACAGAGTACATTGCCGCCTGCCCTGGCAGAAAGGGAAGGCGGGGAAGGTGGTGAGCCTGTACCCGGGGGGACCCTCAGTGATGGGAAGGGCTATAGCGGCATAGCTGAAGGCCAGCTGTCATGTCAGGGTTTGAACCCTGGCTGATTACGTTTTCCTAGTCCCCTCTCCCCTGGGACATGAGTGTCTTGCGCTGTGCTGCTCATCTGGGAAGCTGGGTCTCTCTTTGCAGAAGGGAGCAGACTTCTGGCAGACAGAGGAGGTTGGATGTAGCTTCTGGTGACTGAATGGTATGACAGGGTAGAAGTCTTCAAAGCTCAGACCTGGGAGTCTTTGTATTTCTCTTGTGCAAGCGGTATAACCAAGTATATAATGAGTGCAAGCCTTTTGTTGCCCTTGGGAATAAGGTGTATGTCCCTCACTCATTTCTCCTTCTCCACTTGTGTCTTGGGCAGGACATTCTAGACTGGAAAACTTCCCGTACCTTCTTCTACTGGAGATTAAGACGTCTTCTTCTAGAAGATGTGGTAAAAAAGAAGATCCATGATGCGAATCCTGAGCTGACTGACGGGCAGATCCAGGCTATGCTGAGACGCTGGTTTGTGGAAGTCGAAGGGACAGTGAAGGTAAATGAAGAAGCAGTTTTGCCAAGGCTTTAGTCTTTCCTGGGCTTAAGTTCAGTGAAGTTTTCCCAGGTGGAGTTTGATCTCTGGTTTTTAATTGTAACATCCACAAGCATTTTAGGTGATGAAAGAGAACTTCTGGGTAATGTTCCAGGTCATGAATTGTTTTATGGGGACACTTTTTATAGCGGACCAGAAAAGCAAAATAGGATTTTTCCCAAGCATGTAGCGCTATTGATATGAAAATGAGCATCTTGCAAAGATGAACAGCTCGCTCAGCGGAGCAAGGCAGGGCAGCGTGTGGGAAGAAGGCTGCGCAGAGGTGCTGCCGTCTGGCAGAGCTGGCAGCAGAAATCCCAGGAGTCACAACACATACACCAGCCCTGAATATCTCCAACTCCTTGTTTCTGTGCACGGTGTGTCTAAAATAGCACTGCAGAGCTGCTGGCGGTTACGGAGGAGCTGTCCTCGCTGTGCAGACCGGCCCCTGTGTACCCTTGGGATCCTCTCTGATGTGAAAGCAGGATTTTTGTTTTATTTTGAATTACTCTTTCTTACTGAATAATATCCTCAATCCTGCTCTGTCCCACTGACACTGAGAAGGGTGTGGAGATTCACTGCTCGTATCCAGATGTTTTGCCTGGCAGATGTACAGCCAGCCTGTCCTACCCACCTGTCCTGCTGCTTGCAGAACAGACCATGGCCATACTGTCCCTGCTGCCCCTGGGCTGCCCTCCCCTTCCTTCCCTTTCCCCGGCCGTGAACTTAGAGATGGTGGTGGGGACAGATCACAGGTGCCTGGTGATCCTTCACAATTGCCGTGTCTCAGCCCAGGGGAGCCCCTGCCGTTCTTCTGCCAAGCATCCCGCATCCCCCGGGTTGCACAGTGCTTTAAGGCCCCCCGGAGCAGCAGGGACAGGGATTGGCTACCAGAGCTTGGGGTGCGCGGTCGGCTTGGCACCATCCGCAGCCCTCATCTGATAGCCGTGTCGTGGATTTCTTTTTTAATTGTGGGCCAACTCTGAAGCTGGCAATCTCTGAAGAGCAATCTCTGGAGCTGCTCTTAGGTTGTTTTTGTCACAGTCCTCCAACCTGAGTTCTTTATTTTATTTTATTTCATTTTATTTTATTTTATTTCATTCTATTCTATTCTATTTTTAAAGTCACAAACACTCAGGGGTTCCAGAAAAGGGGGGAAGTGTTCTCTGGAGGGCAGCAGGCTTTCCAAGGTAGTGTCTGAGCGTCTTTAAAAGCGGGCATCTCGTTAGCTAATACATTACACCAATCAAGGAGAGTTATCTTAAGCCACAATTAATCTGCTCCCTGGCATATGTTGATAGGAAAGCATCATGCTGTTTCTTAATTAAAAGCAAACGGATTAAAAATGATTAATAAGAGTATTAAATATTCTCCTAAACTAAAAGCTTTGGGATTCTTGGGTAAATCTAGCTTTACGCAGGTCTGCAACTGTAAGGCAGCTTCTTGGGGTTTTTTTCCCTTCCCTGAAATCTTCCTAAGTGCCCTACTTTGTATGCAGGGAGCATTTCTGTCATGTCTAGGGGCGGAACCAAGGAGCAAAACCTAACCAGTTTAAAATAATAATACGGAAAAACAATGAAATAAGCAAAATCTTGAGGTTGAAGTGACATCACTGTTTCAAGATGATCTTATACATAATGTTAAAGAAAAAAAAAATCACGGTTTGTTATTAAAGTGTATGGGGCAGGACCGACGCTGGGGGCTGGAATAGGGTCTGCACTTTGGGGTTCCTCAGGCGGTGCCGGCTCGCGGCCGTGGGTGTAGCAACACCTGCCTCAGCACGGGGAAGGAGCGCTGCTTGTGAGAGTCCCGGGGAAGAGGGAGACAATTTCTTGGATGCGGAGAACTGGGATTTAAGTACCTAAATAAAGGGTGAGCAGTGAGGAGGTTGATTAGCGTGAGCGTGCCACCTTTGCGCTCCTCTCTGGTATCGGCAAG